GTGGGGGATGAACTACACCCTGAAAGTCCCGATTCGGCTCAAAATTGTGGATTTGGAATTGTAGGCATTTTTAGCTTCTTAAGCCTGTTTACAACTTTTTCATTGCATAAAAACCCCATAAAGCATTTTCCCCACATACCTGGCATGTTAGGCACCCTCATTTCCTCATAAAGTCAATCTTGTATTTTTCTTTATCGCCTGTTTTCTTAAAACGCAGTTTTTTCTATAATATATACTTTAAAAAAAACACTCAACCATTATTCATCTCATCTTCATAAAATGTTCACAGAATGAAGAGAAGACGTGACACTAAAAATGTGTCTGTTGAATTTCTTTTACTTTAGTTTTAGTAAAATTTTACGTCACTTGCAACACAATAAGGTCACATAAGTCCCGAAGATTAGAGGTGTTACAAAAGAGTAACAAACACAAAAAAGAAGGAGGGGAGGTAAAGACGATCGATGTTTGATAGGAAAGAAGAAAGAAGAAAGAAACCACACCAGAGCACCCGCCAACCACCCACGTTGAATTTCTGGAAGCATCTGGAAGTCTTTGAATAGACCAGCCACTCAGTTCCTTTACAACTTACAAACATTTATTATTGTCACCACTGCTACTGTTGTTGTTGTTGTTGTTTTGTTGTTGTTTTTGTTGCTGTTGTTGTTGTTTTCCCGCAGATATTTAAAAGAGAAGAGCACATGCTAGCCCTTTTTGTTCAACAATATTATCTTGTTGAAGTAAGAAAATTGGGGTAAAACATATTTCCATTTACACGAGTGAATGAAAGAAAAGTTTAACAAAACGGAAAGTTGGTGAAGGTTTCTTTAAACGTGAATTAAAGACAGTTGCTTTTCCATGTGACTTGTTAAACATTTCTCCTCGCCAGACTTAGCCTTGGCACAATGGTGCACATGGCTTTGTCAACTGAACAAAGAACCCACGTCACTTGAATACTTACATACCTGTTCCTTGAAGAAATAATCTGAACTTCATATTACGCATTGAATGCATAATGTGAATCACAAACATTAGAAATATTATGTTCCTTGAAGAAATAATATGGATCACAGGCACAAGTGTGTAGCTACGTTCCGTGAATAGAGAACACGAGAGAAATGCATTCTCAGAGACTGGTTACTTGAAGAAATAATCTGAACTTCATATACACATTGAATGAATAATGTGAATCACATACACATGTGTGTAGCTACGTTCCATGAATAGAGAACACGAGAGAAATGCATTCTCAGAGACTGGTTACTTGAAGAAATAATCTGAACTTCATATACATATTGAATGAATAATGTGAATCACATACACATGTGTGTAGCTACGTTCCATGAATAGAGAACACGAGAGAAATACATTCTCAGAGACTGGTTACTTGAAGAAATAATCTGAACTTCATATACACATTGAATGAATAATGTGAATCACATATACATGTTTTTAGCTATGTTCCGTGAATAGAGAACACGATTTAAATATATTGTCAGAGATTGGTTCCTTGAATGGATAGTACGAACCATGTACGCCTTGAGTGAATAATTTGAATCACACACGATCGAAATATGTTCCTTGAATGACTAATATGAATCACATACACATAGATACTTTTTGTGAATAAAGATCATGAACCCCAGGTACACACAAATAAGCGTGCTGACAAAATGAGTTACTTCTCGCAATCCACAAAAGGATATATTGGACAAAATCGACACCACAGTCAAATTTGCTGATTTGTATTGATGCCATAATATACTCCTTAAGTATAAGATGTCTTTTATTATTTCATACTTATAAATTGTAAAAGCTTCACGTATAAGCGTGCAGTGGCGGTGGGTGGACCAAGATTTGGGTGGGGCTTAGGTTTCTTCCACTTCTTTATCACCAAAAAGCAAGCAATAAGAACAACAGTGATGATTTTGCTATACTCACTGCGAGCCACGGCATTTTGAGTACCATTCAAACGAGAAGAGTCACCTGTGTCTTCCATCTCTTTGTTCTTAGTTAAAGTTAAGCTCTTCTGGATGGTGGGGACGAAGCCGTTTCACCTCCAAATTTCTGTAATTAGTTTTTATCTGAATAAAAAGTTGCCTCAAAAGTGGTTTGATGTAATAAATAACTGATAAATCTCAGCGGCACAAACACACAGCACTCCAAACACATACCGTCTATGAGGTGGATAGGGTCGTGTTGTTGCGGAAAATAGAACGCGCCTAACAAAGGCCCAATGGGCGCATAGGTATCTGTGTCACTGGGGGAAAGTGGGTCGTAAACTTTCACCCCATTGTCAGGGCTGGGAGAGCGTGAGCCCTCTGTGCAGTGTAATTTTGTAAAAGTCTTCTACCTTTTAACAAGAAGAGTTTCATTAAAGACAGGCGTGGGAACCGGCTTATTCTTTCTGAGCCCTAACGACATTTGATTGGCTGTTAGGTCACTATAGTTGTAAGCGGTGACAACAATGATTGGATAAACGGGCAAGCCGCCAAGCTGATAACTGTGTTCATTGCGTGCAATCAAGACGGTTTCAACTGCTTATTATTTCGTTATTTAAGAAACTTTCATTAACTAAGGGATAGAGTTGGGGCGGAGAGGGGGGGGGGGGGGGTGAAGGGCTCAAGCCCGTAAGCCCTTCACTACCCACCACCACTGTAAGCGTGCTGTATCTATTTCCATAGGGCTGGAATCCGAGAAGTGACTCATTTTATTAGTACGCTTCACAATTCACCCTTTGAATAAAGAACAACAGCAACGTTTTACGCATGGTCCTCTTCCTAAACTTCTAACACTTTTCTGAACCTCGTTTTAAAATAGAATTTTTTTAAAAAGCCAATAATAGGGAAGAGTAAACTTTCATGTTCTTTTCTCTTTGGCAGGTTCGTTAGTTTAAAGCAAAAGGGAAAAAAACAACTAGCCACCCTTCTATTTCCCACAAGGTCAACGGCCACAATCATTGCAGGATGACCCTAGGTCAAGCCAGGCAGAAGCAGACGTGAACCATGGTGGTCATCGCTACGTCATGTGCCTGTCTGATGTTCCTCCTGTACGCTTCAAGTGTTCACGGATGTGGTAGGAGTGGGAGCTCAGACTCAGACAGCGAAGGTGTGTTGAAGTGCAGCGGCACGTCCAGTGAATACGTCAAAGGTCTCGAAAGGAGTTCTAGAGGCAACCCCGACTCAATTCTGTTGATAGAGGAGGCAGTCTGCTCTAATGCTCCAAGTCCGTACAGAAGAGACCATACACAGATCTTCTTCGCCGACTGGGAACACAGTTTTGACCGTAACTATAACTGGAATACCTGCCCTGATGGATACTTCGTACAGGGATTCTACTGGACAGGTGGAGAAAGACTTGGAAATATACGAGACGGCCGTTGTATGAAGCCAGCGTCACATCCATACCATTATGGCCACTGTTACGATAAAGATGTATCAGTGTCATTTAACTACAGAGGAGTCAGTGAATGCCGTGATGACTACTTCGTCACTGGTCTCTATCGTGGAAGTTGCGATCAACTATATTGTATCGAAAAAATGAGGTGCTGCAATATGGCACCCCGGCCGGATACAATCAATTCTCTGTCACAAGCTAAGATTAGAGTTATGGACAATACAATGTCTGACATTGCCACCCTGGCTCACTATCTGGGCTACGGCTGGTGCGCAAGTTGCCGTGCTCCGTATGTCGGTGAAGATTTCCGTCGACAAGGCGACACTTGGCAAGCAGACACGACAGAACCTTGTTCCGGGGCTTTGAGCCACCATCGTCTAAGTATGAACTATGGACATTGGAAATTTTCCATCAAGAATATGACATTCGGCACCCCAGTGCTACAGAGCTTGCAGCCGGAAACAGTTGACACTGGTGTAGTGAACAATGAGCTTCCTTATGACGTCACGCGTGTCATAACGCGCTCTGCTGACGTCATTCGTAGCGTAACCCACACCGCGACCTCGGAGTGGCGGCGCTCACATGAGCTGGGCCTCACTTTTGGTTACTCATCTGTAGGTTTCTCCTCCAGCGCCGAGTACAGATTTACATACGGGACGTCTACAACCACATCAGATTCAACAGGACGGACACAGGCAGGGTCGTTCACAGTGAAGGAGTCTCTCACTGTACCCGCCTATAGCGCTGCTAATTTTACGATAATTATATCCCAAACTCGAAGAACTGTGTCTTACACGGCAACAATCCTTATTCATTTTTCCACAGAGCTCGGAGGGTTCATGAGATGGGGACGAGGCCCCGATGGAAGATTAACAAATTGCCATTACCAACACAAAGGCAGCGAGAGGCGACCAACGGTTCATTACAGGTTTGGAAATGCCAGGGTACCCTTTTACGAAGCCCTGAAGGAGGAGAGCGACTCTCTCCAGCGTCCGTGGCTGTGGGCAGACATGAAGCAACGATATACATACGGCCAGAACGTGATAAACAGACTCACCAGGGAGGGACGCTACGAGTTTACACTCACAGGCAAGTTTGACGATGTGGCTGGCAATGACGTACAGATACAATGGGGAGAACCGTACCCTATGCTGGGAAGACACAAGAGGTCTGCGCACGCGCACGCCACCGGCTCTGCCAGGGTCAGTGACAAAGCTCCCCACAAAGTGGTCATTCACGACGCCGAGGTTGAGGTCAAGAAAGTAGTAGCGACCGAGAAACCTGGAGACCCGCCAAGCGAGTTCCCGCCGCCTCCAGTAGTCGCCCTTGACCCTGACTCAGTTGTTGACCCTCCCAAGGAAATCTCATCGGACTAAGTAGACGAGTTTTTAGCCCTAGAAAGCCCGTTACGTCGAAAAAAAATGGTCGTATATGATGTGTTGTTAAAGATTGACAGAGAAAGGAAAGATATGAGATATGTTTAAAAAGAAAGAAGTAGCAAGGCACACCAGAGCACCCATTTATGGGTACATTCACAACAGCATTTTATGATATTGTGAAGTGTGCTGACAAAATGAGTTACTTGTCAGATTCAAGCCTTAAGGAAATAGATACATCATGCTTATAGGTGAAGTTTTTACAGTTTATAAGTAGGGAATAATAAAAGACAGGTTAGAGTTGGAGAATATGGCATCAACTGAAAATCTACAAGTTTGACCCTAATGGTGATTTTTGGCCAAAATCTCCATTTGTGGTTTGCGAGAAGTAACTCATTTTGTCAGCATGCCTCACGTATTGTAGTGTTGAGAAAATATTGTATCAAGTTTTTCGGCATTCAGGCCATTGTCTGTCCAATTTCACTTCGGGGATCCCCGAAAGTTATTAAAAAACTATAATATCATACAATATGAGACGTGCATTCCTTTACCCTTTGAAATCTGTTCCTATCCACAGGCAGACCAATACTACAAGGAATAACGGGGACGGGGATCGGAACAAGTCGGGAAAATGGGCTGTTTATAGCACACTTAAAACAGCATTTGTCTGGCATCGTAGTGAAATCAGGCGCTCGTTAAAATAATGAAAGCGAAGAAAAAAGCATTGGTTTCCGACAGTTTGATTTTTTTGGGATCTAAACTTTGTTTTTTGGCTCAACATGTTTAAGTCAATATAAAAGCATATCTCCATGTGAATGTTATTGAAAGACGTACATTAATAACCCAAAATACATAACTTTTCAGTTTTCAAAGACTCTGAAGCTATAGCTAAGTTACCAACGTTTGGCGACCATTTTCTCGCTTATTTTACCTCTGTAAACAGGCTACCTCCACCTTCTTCAGTCGCAAATATTTCGACTTCTATTCAAGATAGATGAGTATTCGTTTCACTGAAAGCTAAGCAACTATAGAAGCCTTCCGATGATGCCAATAACGCCACACGCCCCAAAATTGACGAGTGCCAGATTCCACCGCGTCATAACACATTTATTGATATTTTTTCTTTTTAGTGTTGTTTTTACCCCCACATCGACACACTTTAGATCTGCATTCAGGGTGTGGGCTTCAAGCCTGTCTATCAGGGCTCACCCAGGCTGAGACTGAGAGGGGGATAATAAATAATAAAAAAAATAAATAAATAAATAGCATTTGTATAGCGCATATCCCCGCTCAACAGCAGGCTCTATGCGTTTTACACTATATTATTACTCCAGCAGACCATAGAACACTCCGAAACATTCTCAGCTTCCCGGGAAACATACAGTGCAAGCAGCTGATTAAGTGCTCAAACACTAAGAAACTGACAAGATCTAACGCTGTCTATAGCCGGGTACCCATTCCCACCTGGTGAAGTGAGGAAAATTCGTGTAAAGTGCCTTTCCCAAGGACACAACGTCGGGCCTCTGACGGGATTCGAACCCACGACCTTACGGTTGCGAGTCATAGAGTTTAACCACTAGGCCACCGGATAACATCCCAAAAGAAAGACCAAGACGCTCGATAACGCCCCCCCCCCCCCTGTGCACTCACACATATACACACACATACACACGCACACACACACACACACACACACACACACACACACACACACACACACACACACACACTTACACACACAGAGGTATCAAACTCGGGTGCCCTGCGTGCAACGACAAAGTAGCACAACCGCTACACCACAGACGCCGGCACTGCACATTAAATTTGACACTCTCTTGATTGTTTCAAGAATACTGATGAGTGGGTTCTCGTGGGTGGTCTAGAGGTACAATGTTTGCCTCTCAATCTCATTCCAAAGGTCTCGGGCTCGAAACCTGACAGCGACGGAAAATTTATTTTTCTTCTTTATTTCTCCTCCTTTCCTGCTCTCTAACCATGTTCTGTCGTTTGCTTGCGTCTCTACTTTCTACCCAACGGAAAAAGCTTAATTAAGGTGTCAGCGTTTTACAGAGCGAGTCTGTCTTCATTAAAAAAAACAACAACTGCACAGCCGAACCTGCCTTAACGGAAAGCTGTGAAAGACGGAAACCTGTCATAACAGTATCTCCCTGCTCCCTCCGTGATAAATTCCTCTATAATTGCTATAAAAAGGAAACCTGTCTGGCGCAGAAATGAAAAGAAAAATGCCTTCCCTTCGGAGGGTTTTTACCTGTCTAAGACGGAACATGCGTGGCCCCTTGATTTGAAACAAAACTACCAGGTTTGGTGGCCCCTTGATTTGAAACAAAACTACCAGGTTTGGTGGCCCCTTGATTTGAAACAAAACTACCAAGTTTCGTTTCACCGGCTGTAATTTTTATGCCGATGTCGACCGGCGAGCAAGGGGAGTTGGACTGAGTAGGAGTGCAATTTGGGGGCAGATGTTACCCCATGCATGTGAGGGCCCCTTAGCGAAGCAGATGGTCAGGGTGGTGTGCCTGTGAGAGAGCTCGAGTGGCGCTCAAGCACGGAAACGTTTAATATGGTAAATCAAAGGCCAGAGGTGTGAAATTAGTTTGACCAATGTCTGCAGCCCTGATGGTACGGTCAGCCGAGAAAGGGGTTCCTCGAATTGTTGTTATATGACGCACGGGAGGAATTGTATTTGTTGACTCTGTGGTGGAATCAGGCTCTCGTCAAAATAATCAAAGTGAAGAAACTTGATTATTTTCGCAGGTTTGTGAATTTTTATCAAATTTTTGTTTATTAGCTTTCATGTCCATTAAAAAACTCATTTCTGTGTTAATTTTTATGAAAAACGTTGATTAAAGGCACAAAAAATGTAAATTTTCAGTCACCACGGACACTTAAGCTAGGGAAATAACTAATCTTTGGCTGCCATTTTCTCACTAATTTTACCTCTGAAAATAGGTGACCCCACCTCTTTCTTTCGCAAATATCTCAACTTGTTTTCAAGATAAATGGATTATTATTTTTCATCCGAATAAACACAAGTGAACAACCTTTGAGATTATACCAATAACTCTACATGCCCAAAAATTGACGAGAGCCTGATTCTACCACGCTGCTTCACATTTGTTGACTGTGTTTATTACACTGACAGGTGGGGCTAAAGGTGGAAGCAAAGGAGATGTTCAAACGTTTCTGTTATTTGTAGGTCAAAAGTGCTCCTATGAAATACAAGCACTGGTGGCAATGCTGTTATCAAATAGGGTAGCACTTGAGAGGTATGAAGTTTCGACCACTGCTTGCCGACCAGACAAGCCATTCTTGATCCACCTGGCTGGGTCTCTAACTCCCCCCCCCCCCTCCGACCCCCTTTCCATCTCCCCCTAAATTCCACTTTCTACTTAAACGAAAAATGTCTAAAACAGACTTTTTTCCTGCCTCCCTTGCCATTCCGTCTTACACAAGTGTGCAGTTTTTAGAACAGTTTTACAGAGAGCAAATTAAAATGGGTGTTGTTAATAGGAAAACCACATCTGCTTTAAAGATAAATAGAAAGTTATTATCAAAATCATAGTCTTAAAATATTAACTTGGGATGTTTGCAAAGAGTTTGTTTCCTTGGTAACAACCTTCAGTTTTTTTGCGTTTTCTAATTAAAAGTATAATTGTAAAAACTGCATATTAATATACTGTATCTGCATGTTTAAAAAAAATGACAGCAGGAGCGAAGAGAAGAAGCAGTGCAAGCCTAGACTACAAAACACCAGTAAACTGGAAGCTGGCCAAGACGGCCACCTACTGTCCAGGAGAAAAATTGTGTGATTGTTTTAGACGGGGGTTCTCGTGGCCTAGGTGTTCTCCTCTCATTCAAAGGATCCGGGTTCGAATCCGAGTAGCGACGGAAAAGTTTTCCTATCTAAAATTGTCTCCCTTCACCTCCTTTCCTGCTCTCTAGTAATGTTCTGTCGTCTGCTTTCGTCTCCACTTTCTGCCCCCACCCCGAACCTCCTTTGCCCCCTCCTCTGGGCTCCTGACTCTTTCTACAGCCTTTTTACTGTTACTGATTGGCTCCTTCTTACTGCTGTCTTTCAACCACACCCCTGGGCTTCTGGTAGGAAAGATCTACACCTAGCCCTCTCGAACAAGGGCGAAAAACCTTAGTTGTCCCGTGTGCAAGTTGCGCACGTTAAAGAACCCTGGTGGTCTAACATCGATAAGAGTAGGCTTCGGCCGCCACCCGGGCAAAATTCAAAAATCTCTTCCAAAAGAAAATGTTTAAAGTGTCCCGCGCGCTCATACGACCTTATGGCGTTACGAGCGCCTTTCAACACTTACAAAACATATTTTTAAAAATAATAATTACATAAAATGATTTCTTGGACCCTGTCATCTTATTGATACAAAAATGATGCAAAGAAAACAATAGGAAGTGGTCGCTGGTACAGGTGATTGTCTTAGACAGGTGGCTGTAAGAGCAGGCTCCACAGAACAAGAACACGTTTATGGTAGTGGTGGGGATTTAGCGTGTGCCCCCGAGCAGATCACTCTGACCTCTCACCATGTCACATGGTTGCTGTGCGGTTGGCTTTCAGTTTTAGTAAGAGTGTTACGGCACTTGCAACACAATAAAGTCACATCAGTGCCCATGATTAGAAGTGTTACAAGAATAACAAACACAGCAACAAAATAAGAGGAGAGATCAGGAAGACAGATGTTTGATAGGAAAGAAGGAGCAAACCACACTCGAGCACCCGCTTTGGTTGGCTACATACTCAAAACTGATCAAACAATGATATTGATAATAAAAAACTAACCACTTTTTCAGGGTCGATCAGTAACGCTACCTGCTGTAAAATGTGGGTTTAAAAACGCCACTGTCCACACTGTGCGATTATTTAAGAAACGGAACCTCAGGCTGTAAAGGAAGAGGAAGGCCACGCAAAAGGTGGATCGAGGGTGTCAAGGAAACCCTAAGAAAACATAACATCACAA